CTACTGTACGAGCCTGAAAAATGGAAAACAGATAAAAAAAACCCACCAAATTACTCATGGTTCATCCATCTTTTCCAATGACCTTCCAAATCTCAGCCGATTTCTCATCCATCTCCATTATTTAGTTTGCAAACGACAAAACGAGAGGAGCATCATTAAGACAGACGAGCACCATAGGCGAAACAGTAGAACAWTTTTTTTTTTGAACGGCACGAAAGATGCAACAATCAATGAAGATGAATCTAAAGGTCGCCGGAGTCAAACCCACACCAGGTATCTCTACAGCCCGGTCTTGTTTCGAGTTTTTGCTTTCATGGTTCTAAACCCACCACCATCGATTTATCTACAGCTGTCATATAAATATATAAAATCGSAGTTGGATAAATTCGTAATTTTAACGAGTTGACGTGGCTTTCTTCCTTGTTGGAGAGTCATAGTAATCTGTTTACTTTCTATAAAAGTTAAGTTGCTCGATCGATCTTCTTTAAGCTTCTGGAGCTTCCTCAGCTTTCTAGGTGTCGCTTTGATACGACACACAWCATCTGTCTCTGCCACGTTCAACCAAAAATCTAGACACCTCCTGCCTCTATATATAATAAATTTCCTTGATCTTCCTCTATATCTAGCTACCTACCTATGTCTCATTCAGATTAATCATCAAGTATGCAGACAAGATTAATACTAGTTTCTAAGCTCAATAGGATCTTCTTCCCAACATCCAAATATCAAACAGCCTTTTCCTCAGCTGCTTCTCATGGCGGAGATCCTCAAATGGAAGATGCCATGACTCAAGGGGTTGACACGGAGGGTGAAACTAACCCACATCATCATCATCATCATCATCATCATCATCATCATGATCAAGAATTTCCCACCAAAGATGAGAATCTTTACATGCATCCTAAGACGGTACCGCCAAACTTGTCATCCTCCAAGCTAGAGACCCCGGGTGTGAACAAGCCATTTGATCCCCACCACCAGCAAAAGCGTACCAAGGAGGAGTTAAGCTGCGCGGGGCTGGATGGTTCACCATGGCCGGCGGATCATGACCAGACTGAAGATGATGACGATAAACACTACTTTGAGCACCACAAAGCTTCTCCATTATCTGAAATTGAGATTCTTGATTCTAGGAAACCTCTTGCWAGAGTCACCGATGGGACGGCGGGTGGTTATTTTGGTGATCAACAGGTGATAACGTGGAGACCTGAGCAACTTGATACTGCGGAGGAGTCTCTAMTGAGAGCCACAGAGATGTTTAGAGATGCGGCTAGGAGGGGAGTTCCGGAGTGGCCTCATTCTAGGAGATTGAGACAACTTCGAGGAGAGGATTGGTGATCATATAATCTTTTCGTCTTGTTAATGTTTAATAATATGCATGTTTACTGTAACACCCCATTCCGAAGGAAGGGAGGTTGCTTCAAAACGTAACGGAGCGGTTCTATAAAACTTTCAAAATATAGTCTCTAATACAAAAAAATAAAATAAAATCTTCCAATAACGAAATTGAATATATCTTCAAATAAAGAAATAAAGGTCTCCCAAAAACCACTTCCAGGATCCTCCAACAACCGAGGAAAATCCAAAAATAACCAAAGAAATCTAATCTAATAGCCAAAAGAAAGAAAAAAAAAATTCTAAAAAGTGAAATAACATAGCTCTAAACCTCTTGAAACCTATGCAATCAAGATCCTGGTCTACTCTCTGTCACAAGACCTAGCCGCCCTTGATTACCTGCCGTGAGGAATAGAAGAAAACACGGCCGAGCCAAATGTCCAGTGAACTGATAAATAATTACAGTAAAATGATAATACAAACATGTCAAAATTGATCTCAAGACATCGAACCAAACGAATACCCAAAATCTTAGAAAATCAACAGATAACATAATCATACGAAATCATATGAAAGGACAAATCGAGCTCGAAAACACATACACTTGCATATTAACCAACATGACAAGTGTCAAGACATATGGCCACACAGGCCTGTACGTTGGACTGCAGATCCACACGTACCAAATGTGAGATGTGGCGTTGGATACTACACCGACATCCACCCTACAAACGAATCACATATGCTAGGGCCGACCCATACGCCTCCTAAATCGAATATCCATCACACCAAAATAGCTCTCACAGAGTACCAAAAGAGGAGACGCCCATTGCCACGGTTAGTGTCACGCCATCGGTGCCACAATGACGTGCCTATGGTACTCCCATAGGTGGTTAGTAGCTCGAGTTACCCAGAGTTGAGTTGTTATACATAAGGTCAATAAATAACGAAGTCAAACGAAAAGTCAAACATAAGTCAAGTAAGGAATTATGTTGAATAACAAGTAGTTGTAATATAAAGAGGCTCAATTTGAAGAATACATAATCGATCAAAAGTACCAACATATGTACTTTTAGAAGTAAAAAGCATACCAAAATGTTACCGAACAAATAAACGTGTACTAACTCGAATAACTCAAATAACATGATTAGGACAAGACGCCCTTGCCATATATATATATATATATA